CCAACCACCACCGACTAGAATTGGACCCGGAGGAAGGAGGTGAACCAGCACAACACTGTGCCGCCTATCCCCAATCCTCTGAGCCGATCCAAAAGGATACCATGGCTGATGGTATCGAAAGCTGCAAAGAGGTCAAGCAGGACAAGGATGGATGCAGAACCCCCCCTCCTGCCCTTGCCAGAGATCACCCAAAAGTGCGGCCGATGCCGTTTCCATCCCATATCCGGGCCTGAATCCCGACTGAAAAGGATCCAGATAATCCACTTCATCCGAGGTCTTCTGAAACTGTCGCACAACCACCTTCTCAATCAGCTTCCCCCCAAAAGGGGAGGTTGGATACTGGACAAAAACTGTCCAGTATAGTGGGGTCCAGTGATGGCTTCTTTAGGAGGTGGTGAAACAAAGCCTCCTTAGAAGGTGAAGGAACAACCCCCTCACTCAAGGAAGATTACCCTTTGCTAGAACCTGCTCGCACAACATCCCTCGGCCACTTCAACCAGCCAGGTTGGTCATGGGTCTAAAGAGCAGGTGGCTGAGCTCACAACCCCGAGGACCCTGCCCACTTCCTCAGGTCCAACAAGTTCAAACTGTTCCCAGATAACCGGCAAGACTCCTCCCTAGGCACCTCTACTGGACCTGCAGCAAAGCCAGTGTCCAACTGTGAACGAATCCAAGCAATTCTGTCCCAACAGACGCTGAGCAAATTCCTCTGCACGCCCCTGCAAGAGGTTCTCCGAGCCATCCTTACCCAGGAGGGCTTGTGTCACCCCAAACAGGGCTGCGGGGTGGCTATCTGCAGAAGCAATAAGAGCGGGGGAGTAACGACGCTTCGTTGCCCTTATGGCCACTAGGTAGGCCTTAATAGCAGCTCTGACCTGTGTTCAGTCGAGTTTGTCCCTCATCAAGCACCAGCAAACTTCCTCTAGAGTCTCTTCTCTTGCTTCATCTCCCTCAGCTCTTCCACAAACCACGGGAAGTCCCAGGATCCCCAAGAGGGCAGAGGTCGCAGGGGCGCGATCCAATCCAAGGCCTCAGCCACTCTCTTATTCCAAGCGGCACCCAGAGCTTTGGATGGACTGTGCAGACGACCAGCAGGACAACCCCTGGCTCGCTCTGGAACCTACCCGGGTCCATTAGCCCCCGAGGGCAGACCAATCTAATGGGCCCAGCCTCCCTGCAGTGGATAGTCTGGGGAACTGGGAGGGGAGCCGGGCACCCTGAGTTTCACCAGCTCTTAGTGCCAATTGGGTATCTAGCCGCCACCTCTCCACACACTACAAAACACACACATACAACACATTCAAAGATACAAATGCAAAGAGGCTTCCTCCCCTGCTGCTCCCACCCACGGGAAGAGGGCTCCCCACATTCACCCATCACTAATTCCTCCCCCAGAGGAGGAAACAGTCAATTCACAAGGTGCTTAAAAAAGAAAACAGATGGAGCCCCTCCCTCCCTCCCTTTCCTGCCTTCTCAGGGCTACCCAGAGGGTAGGCAAGGTGGCCTCCACAGGGGAAGGGGTCCACAGCAGCCTGCCACTGTACTGTTGCCCCCCGCCTGGCCACCGCCTACACCTCCAAGCCCAGCATCCCACAAGTAGCACAGAAGGAGCCCACGAGCATGTGCTGCCGCAGGGAAGGCCACAGGGCCCCCTGCCTGCCTCCTGAACGGGCACCTCAAGGCCTCTCCTCGTTCATTCAGGGACAGGTCTTCTAGCCAGTCTTTCTACTCGGGCGGCACAAATGTTACATGAACACACAGCCGCTTTTCCACAGAGATGTACCTCTCCATAACTCCATGGAGAAGACGTAACATTGGCCACCAACATGTGGATAGAAGGGTGTGGGCAGAGGGTCAAGCCTGAGACGGTGCACACTGGAAAGGGCTAACCCTGAGCCGCCACGAGGAGGAAGACCGAAAGGAGCCAGCTGAAACTCTTGCAAACTGGGAGGTGGGAAATAAGGGGCCAAAACGACACCAAATGCTGGAGCTGATTCAAACACTCATATTCAAAGACTTTCTGACCATCGATAGTCTCTGAGCATGTGCAAAGAGATCTTGAAAAATATATTTCGCTTTCAGGAGTTTCTCCTTTGCCAAAATAAAACTCATCGCTGAGTGTGAGGATCTGTATGGAGAATGCATTCCAAAAAAATAAAGACAAAAACAGAGTTACAGACATCCACACACAGTACTCTATACAGAATCACAGTGATGTAGCAGGTAACGTAGGCATTTTATCATTAGTCTTCTATAACCTGAGCCGCAAATGGCCTACGCAGCCATGTGCATCATTTCCTATATTTGAAATACAGGCCAAACTGGACTATAGCCTGCAGTTTAGTTTTTATTTTCCTTCAAAAAGGCTCAAAGTGGGGCTTGGTTGCTATGTTCATTTTTTTCATTGCTGTTGGAGATTAGAGGGGTGTGTATATGTGTTTCAAGTTAAACTTTGCAAAAATACGTATCTAACTTTCAGAAAAGGCAAAAAAGGCAAGCTGTAACTTTAAAGTTTTTTCTTGCATTTAAGAGATTTTAAAACTCAACAAAAATAAAAATTTTCAAAAATAGTGGTTCTCAGTAAAATAATCAAAGCTTAGGGTTATATGTGATCAACACAATCAAGTGGAGGGTTATATAAATGATTAACTTTAGGGCTGATGGGATTAAGTAACATGTCTTAACTGGCAGGGTTTGTGGTTTGGACTGTTTACTTGGATGACTTCATTAATTAAAGCTATTGGCAAGCTCCCATTGCGAGTTAATATACACTATAATTCTTCCTTCAAGGTCCTGGCAAAAGGGCCACCAACAGGGAATGGCAGGAGGAGACCTGAAGGAAGGCCACAACCAGCGGCCCACCGTCATCTCCCTTCTCCAAGACGATCTAATCCGACTCGCAGCAGAGCAGACTGTAATAGTCTGTGGGAGGACCTAGGTCACGGGAGCAGCTCTGTAACCATTTTGTACCCCCTGCAACCTTGGGGTCAGACCCTCCTGCTTGTACATGCACACGTGTGGAGCCTTAAAAGCCAACCCAAAGGGAACCCAGGGGTGGCACTTCCTACCTGGCCATCCTTCTGGGATTGGTCAGGCTACTGTCAGCCCTGCGAGGCAGTCCAGACCAGGAAACCAAAGTTATGAATGCTAATACTACTTTTATTATAAAGTTACAGTAGCAGACTCTTGCAAGTCTGAATGCCCCTCTCCTCTCCCTGCCTTTAAGTTTAAGAGAACTAGGGAGGGTCAAGTCTGAGACACTTTCTCTAATTACATTCCTGCCTTGGGCTCAGATTTCTCTTATCTGACCATTGTCTTCCTGTTCCTCAAGGTTATTCTCACAGCTGCAAAGTTTGCAGCTGCTGAAGAACCCCAACTAGAGCAGAGGCACTGGTCAATTCCATGGTCCCAATCCTCTGCCACCATGTAGAAGTCCATCTTCCAGCGTGGAGGGACAGCTGCCAAGGGTAGGGCATACCTTTCCTAATTCAGCAGCTGCTGAGGTGCGTACCTCTTCCTGCTGGGGTGAGCAAACATTCCCAGACTTGCACCCGGCAAATTTTAATGCCAAGCTGGTTATTCTTCGGCACTTCCTGTATGGCTGCTACAAAGTCATCATATAGAAGGAACCTTCTCCTTTTTGCTGCACCTTCCACCCTGCATAGAGCAAAATTTCCCCCACATGACGCAAAGATAGCTTAGTGTAATTTTTTGCTTTTCTTTTGCACAGTTACAGTTCAAAGCTTTGCAAAATGCTTCTACAACATCCTCAGGTACAAAACTCTGTAGAGCAGATTACTCCCTGCAAGCATTCATTAAAAAAAAAAAATCAAGATACAATGATTGCTACTCTCTTGGGAAGTGAAGATCTGTGCTAGAAGGCACATTCCAATGGAACCAGGATCCTGGAGAACTTTTTAGGTATCATAGAAGTCAATATGAGCACCCGATTCAAATGTGTTTGCAAGAAGAAGGCTCAGCAACTTCTGGGAGGAGACGTCACAGTCTATCAGCTGCCCACACTGTTTCATGTCATGGAACATCTGCCTCAGCTCCAGGTCTGCTGACTGGGTGCGGGCCACTTCTTGCATGTCGGTGTCCAGGGGTCCTGCGAAGAAGGGAGGAAAGAAAAGCCAGTCACGAGGGCATCCCTGAGGAGAGCCAGGTGGTGGACAGGGACGGCTGGGACTCACCTGGAGCGTAGTTAAGCACGCGCACGTCCGGCTCTTCTGCCGCCAAGACTCGGAACATCATGTCGCGGGCCGCCTTCCCCGTGCAGTAGAGACTCCAGCTCTTGAACGGCTTCAGGGCGCAGAGGGAGGAGATGTTGACCACCATGCGGGTCAAGCCCGGCTGGGCAGGAAAGGCCTTCAGGATGGAGGCGGTGAGGCACAGTGCGGAGGTGAGGTTGAGGGTTAGGTAGCTGTTGACTTCGTCGGGGTTGGTGAAGTCTGAGAAGGACTTGGAGATGTCGCCCAGGGATCCTGGAAGAAAAAGGAAGAAATGCCATCTCTAGGGGAGACCAAGGCCCAGAAAGTCAGGGGTGGGTGGGAGGCAGCAAGTCCTCTCCCTCACCAAGGCTTCCTCACGCTGTCAGCAGCAAACAGCCTCTTTTATTTGAGGCTCGGATGCTGCCAATTCAACTTAGATGCCAGGCAGCTTCCACCCAATGGCACAATAAAGCACAACTGGAAACATCCTCGCCAACAGAACACGGCAAAGCCAAGCCCGGCGCAGTGCAGCGCCTGCCTGCTTCCAAGGTGTGTGCGGCATCACTGCCCTGAGGGCTTTGGAAGCCGTTTCTCTGAGAACACAAAATGAATGCCTCCAATACTCACCGAGCCAGGCTGGGCCTGTAAGGGGCCTGGGGGGCCATCTGAATTGGTCCTCCCCCTACCCCAAAGAGACTAGGAGCACCCATTAAGCACCCAGGGGATCCATCCGTGACGAAAGACTGTTCCCCATCCCCACCACCGTTACAGCACGTGATCCCGTGCGCATCGGGGCCATGAGGATTCAGGGAAAGCCCGCAGCTACGGTGGGGGCCCTGGCATCTGGAGCTCCCAAGGGCGGATGCGGAAGGTCCCTAGCCCCCCGGGGGAGCGGTCAACAAGCAGCTGAAGCGAGGAGCGCGGGTGGGGGGCAGGACCCCAACAGTTCCCCCAGCTTATCCCAGTTTGGGGCAGTGGTGAGGCGCTGGCCTAGACGCCGGGAGATGGTGACTTCTAGGCCTCCCCCAGGCAGGAAGGCAGGCTGTGGGTGACTTTGGGCCCGTCGCTCGCTCGCTCGGCCCGGCCCACCTCGCAGGGCGGTTGTCGCGGGGGAAAGAGGAGGCGGGAGGGCCGTTCAGGACGGGTAAAAGGATCACCGTCACCCCGGCCTCCCACTTCTCACACGCCCGCCCAGCCTCGTGTTCCGCCAGGGGAGACCCCCGCGCGGGCTGGCGCAAAATCGGACC